GGCTGGGCTCGGGGCGGGGGGCGACTGCCCGAGTCTCCTGAAGGAATCGACACCGACCGAGCGCCTCAGCCAGGGGGGTTTTGGGGGGGGGGGGGGGGGGGGGGCGGTTAGGCCCCAAGCCTCAGCCCCCGAATGGAGTGCGGCCCGGTCTCATAAACCCCCACAACCTCCGACACGAATTGTTTTGTTGGGTTGAGGACAGCGGGGAGCGGGGGCGGGACAGGAAAAAGTGAACGAAAAGGACTGGAAGTGACTGACTCTGCCGCCAGTCGAGGGGAACAGTGACCGAGACCGGGGAACCAGCTCCGCTCACTGGGGGAACGGGACCTGGTACCTCCCGCCTCCCGGCGGCGCTGCAGCCGGAGGCGGGGCAAAGGGAGCGTGGCTTCCCCATTCACCACCCCGCCCCCGAAACCGCCGCCATTTCGCGGGACCTGGGACTTCCGGCCTCCTGGTGGCGCTGTCGGCGGAGTGGAAACCAGGGGCGGAGTGCAATTGTCAAGCAGGCGGGGCCAAGGCCCGGTGAATGGGCGTCAATGTCCACCTCCTGCCGCCCGAGGGCGCGGTTAGGAGCAGGACCTGTTCGGATGGAAGGAGGGGCCTAATGTATTGAGGTGGGGCCAGAAGGCAGCGAAGGGCGGGGCTCCATGATCGACCTAATCCCGCTGCTGTCATTCACGGAGACCGCCGAACGGTAGAGGGGGGTGCGGCTAGAGCGGGCGGGCAGGATTTAGGGTAACCAGGTAGGAAGGGTTTGCTTGTCAGTGGTTCAGGCTCTATGATCACGTATATATGATTAATCAATTACAGATAATTAATTAGGACTTATAATTAACGCAGTCCGGTTCGAACGTCTGTGACCCAGTCCCATTTAAAAAGAGGTCCATCGGGAGGAAAAGGCTGTGGCAGTTGGTGATGGGGTTTTTAGAGGTCTGTGAAGTCAACACGCTGGGCTTTCAGAGATAACAAGGTGTAGAGCTGGATGAACACAGCAGGCCAAGCAGCATTAGAGGAGCAGGAAGGCTGTCCTTTCGGGCCTAGACCCTTCTTCGTCTTCATCAGGGTAGTGAGGACCTCCAACTGCCAGAGGGCGCTGGAGCTGTTTCCATTGGGTGCAGTGAGGACCTCCAACTGCCAGAGGGCGCTGGAGCTGCTTCCATTGGGTGCAGTGAGGACCAGTGATTTTCTGAAGTTGCAGGGATGACAAGACCTAGAAGCAGAAGTAGACTATTGAGCCCACTGAATCTGTACCATTATTTAATGAGATCCTGGCTGATTTGATAATACTAAACTTCATTTTCCACAACCCTTGAATATCACATGTATTAAAATCCTATCTTGAATGTTTTTATAGTCCTTTGCATCATGAACTCTACAGATTCACCAGCCTCTGAGGGAAGAAGTTATCCCTATCTATTAATTGTGTGACCACTTATTCTGAGATTATGCCCTGTGGTCCTAGACTTTCCCACAAGGACAAACAACCTTTCCACATCTACCCTTTCAATTCCCCCAAGAATCTTGTATGCTTCGATAAGGTTGTCTCTCATTCTTCTAAATTCCAATTAGTGAAGCTTTACTTACCCCACAGGTTGCTCGAGTGTACACCAGTGGGTGCAATGATGATCTCCCGCCACCAGGGGAGGCTGGAGGCCACTTCTAGTGGTGGCAATTATATCTTGTGACACCAGAGGGTGCTGGAATGTCTTCCGGTTGGAATTGTGAAGTCCTCAGGATGCCAGAGAGAAGACCGCTACTGGAACAACTTGGCTAGCGGTATGGCAAATTCTAAAGCAAGTCTTCATTACTATTAATGGAATGTAGTCAGGGCTTACAGTCTTTGTAATGCCCAATACCTCCAGCCGTATCTTAAATAAACACATGGAGTGAATCAAGTTAGCTAAGATTGGCATCCATGATGCTGGGGCCCTTTGGAGGAGGCCGAAATGGATCATCCGCTTTGTGTTTCTAGTTGTTGCATATGCTTCAGACTTATCTTTTGCACTAATGTGCTGGGTTCCTCATCATTGTGGATGAAAATATTTGTGCAGCCTCAAACTCCAGTGAGTTGTTTAATTGTTCACCATTATACACAACTGAATGCAGCAGGGTTGCAGAGTGTAGATCGGATCCATTAATCCTTGGTTTGTTTGGCTGTCTCTTGCATGCTGCTCACGCAGGTAGTCCTGTAGCTTCACCAGGTTGGCACCTTATTTTTTGGCATGTCTGGTGTTGTTCCTGGTACACCCTCTGGTATTCTTCATTGAACCCCTTTGCTGATCCCCTGATTTGATGGTAATGGTATAGCAGGTGATGAGCCAAGCCAAGATGCTACAGATTGTGGTTGAATACAGTTCTGTTTGAAGACAAACAGTGCCTCATGGGTGCACTGATTTGAGTTGCTCCATCTGATTGAAGTTTGTCCCATTCAGCTCAGTGGTAGTGCCACACAACATGAATAGAAGGGATTCTCCATGTGAAGACTGGTGTTTGTCAAACAAGGACCATGTGATGGGCACTCCTGTATTGAACAAATGCATCACCAACAGATGGATTGGTGAGGGCAGGGTGAAGTAAGTTTTTCCTCCTGTTGGTTCCCTGACCACCTGCCGCAGTCTCACTTTTACAATTATGTCCTTCAGGACTCAACCAGCTCAATCAATAATGGCACTACCGAGCCACTCCTATTGCCAGACATTGAAGTCTGCTATCCAGAGTACATTCTGTGCCATTGCCAGTCTCAGTGCTTCCTCCATGTGGTATACTGATTCACTAGCTGATGAATGGTGGTGCCGTTGATGGTAATCAGAAGGGGATTTCCTTCCTGATGTTTGACCCAATTCCATGAAATTTCATGGGTTCTGAAGTCCAGTTTGAAGACCTCATGAGGACATTGGCTGCAAGGTATGATTTGGAGAATATGACTCTGACAGGCTGTTGCTTGACTAGCCTGAGGGACAGCTCTCCCATGACCTCCCAGATATTAGCAAGAAAATATTTGCAGAGTTGGCAGGGCTAGGTTTACCATTGTCATTCAAATGTCTAGACCAATGCCAGATAGTTCACCTAGTTACATTCCTTTCTTTAGGCTTTTTAACATGTTTGATAGAACTGGGCAGCATGGTGGCTCAGTGCTTAGCCCTGTCGGCTCAGTGCCAGGGAAACATGTTCGATTCCAGCCTCGGGTGACTGACTCTATGGAGTCTGCACATTCTCCCCATGTCTGTGTGGGTTTCCTCCCACAGTGTAAAGATGTGCAGGTTGGGTGGATTGGCCATGCTAAATTGCCCAGGGATGAGGAAGGGTCACCAGACCCAAAACATTAACTCTTGTTTTTTTTCTTCACAGATGCTGCCAGACCTGCTGAGCTTCACCAGCAATTTTGTTTTTGTTCCTGATTTGCAGCATCCGCAGTTCTTTTGCTTTTTGTTTAGGATTGTCAGGAGTTTCATTAACATTCAATATTTGTGGTGACTCTGAGAGCAGTGGGACTTGACTTCCAGTGAGTCATGATGCCAGTGACATTACTGCTACAGCACCGCTTCCCCCTGTTGTATGCTTTGGGATTATCTGAAACGCTGAATCTCATGGTCCAATGCATAATCCACAATAGAACACATATGAACACAAACCTACCTCTGGAATATTGTCCCGAAGCAGTCAAACCTCTTAGCTCTGGACACCGAAGAATCATGGCAAACAAATGATGAATTATATTAGCCCATCCTGCCAACCAGGACTGTCAACATGAGGGAAATTCTCACAGAGGTATTTATGAATAGCAAGATCTAACAATGCCATTTTGAGCTCCATTTAATGGCATGGATCACTGCTTTCCAAAGAGTAGTGCATGGCAAAACTGTTCATATTTTAAACCTCAGTTTCATACTGTCACTTTGCAAATCTGCTTGAATGAATGAGACGCAATCCTATTACGAACCCAACAGGTATATTCAGTAGGTGCCAGTGCTGAGTATTATTTTAATAGAGAAAACCTTCAGAGAGATGAAGCACAGAGGGATATGGGAGTCTCATACTTAAATCACAAAACGTTAGCAGACAAATTCAGCAGATCATTGGGAAGGCAAATAGAATGTTGACCTTTATTTCAAAGGGAATAGTGTCTTAAAATAGGGAAATCTTGCTAAAACTACACAAAACACTAGACAGACCACACCTAGAATACTGTGAATAGGTTGATCTTTTCATCTAAGGAAATGTTTACTGGAGTTGGAGAGAGTGTTCTCTCTGTGGAATTTTTTACCACAAAGTGCTTTCGAGGCTGGGTCATTAAGTACATCTAAGACTGAGATGGACAGATTTCTAACCAGTAAAGGAATCAAGGGGTATCAGGAAAGTGGAGTTGAGGGTGATATGATCTGCTGTGAGCTCATGAAATGGTGAACAGACCCGATCTGCCTGAACAGTCTACTTCTGCTCCTAATAAGCACATAAATGAGTTAACCATTTTATAGTTTTAAATGCTATTTAAGGAGAAGAGAAGCTGTGGAACTTATTCACTACAGTATATAAATGAATATTTGGAGTGTTAATAAAGCACTAAGGATATCTCTCACCCAGGAAAAGATTTGAAGAGTAGTTGAGGTTGTTAACAAGCTAATTTAAGTTGTCATAGAGTCATACAGCATGGAAACAGACCCTTTGGTCCAACCAGTCCACGCCGAACATAATCCAAAACTAGTCCCACCTGCCTGCACCTGGTCCATATCCCTCCAAACCTTTCCTCTTCATGTACTTACCTTTTAAATGTTAACAAAATGTATTGCTAATGATTCCATAATATCATTTACACGTGCTGTGGAGATGTCTTTTGTTTTTTTTCTTGTCCCATTACCATCCACTTGGCCTCGCACCTTCTACTTTTGTCATTTAATATCTCCTGCTTTGTATTTCCGTACGCTGTAGAAATATGAACTGCTATAAGTTATAAACTTAAAGTGCAAAACGTATCCTCAGATCTTGAGCTCTGGGGGAGAAGAAAAACAAGTTTAAATTTGAAATGGATTAAAATACAAATATGTTTCAAATACATGTAAGACACTATTTAACAACCGGGGAACAATTGTAAAACAACATACAAGAGCAGATCACAGAGAGTTAACATTTAGTTCAGTGACTTGCAAACGCTCAAGAAAATCAGCTTCAAGCAGAGAAGATTTATATCTCATTAAAATACAAAACCAAGCTTCTCACCCTCAGAAACAAGTTTCTTCATTTTTCTTTTGCATATCAAAGCTGTTTGCCTTCTAACTTTTTTAATTCTTTCTAAACATTTTAATCTCAATTTTTCTCTTTTCTTTGTCAACCTTATTTGTAGTGGGAGTGGGGTTCAGAATGTTTTCTTTTGTAATCAGACACACAAGCAGTTAGAATATACTGTCACAAAAGGGGAGTTTACCTCTGTTCGTGTCAGCCAGGACTAATGCTTTTTGTCTGCCCAATTTCCCTTGTAATTCCAACTTTCTGAATTTATGCAGAGGATTCAACACCTCTATTTAACTGTTTCTCTTGAATGGTGAGCCTCTTGTTTGTCTTGTTCCATCAGCTCTTGTTTGAGTTGTTTCACGTCAATGAAAGCTCCTTCTGCATGCAGACGAGATAGGCTGTACTAAATAAAAGCAGAATACTGCAGATGATGGAAATCTAAAATAAGAACACAAAGAGCTGGAGAAACACAGCAGGTCTGGCAGCACCGGTGTGGAGAGAAACAGAGTTAACATTCCAAGCCCCGTATGACTCTTCTTTCACAGTGAAAGGAGGTGGAAATTGGTGATTTTTATGTTTGTGACAGAGCAGGAAGGGGAAGCAAGTGCAGCAGATAGTGAACATGCGTAGAGCAAAAGACAAAGTCAGTGATAATTGTGGAAAAAGAGAGCTAAATATGTTGAATACAGGTAACTATTAGCTGTGGAAAGGAGACAATGGGCCCACTCTGCTGAGAGGTAGGCAAAAAGATACACATAAGACCCAGCCAGGGCAGAGAGGGGGATGTAAGAAAAATGGAGTATAGAGGTTGTACTTTAAAGTTGCAGATCTCGATGTTGAATCCTGGGAATAGTGAAGTGCCCAAGAAGTAACTGAAATGTTATTCTTCCAGGACAGATATGATCTGCAATGCATTCAGGCAGATGACCTCTAATGTACAAGCCTGCCACTTTAGCCCATTTATCCCCGATCTTTCTGCTGCAATTATCAGGCAGCGCGGTATCTCCGTGGTTAGCACTGCCGCCTCTCAGCACCAGGGACCCAGGTTTGATTCAGAGAATGTTTGGAGAAAGGGGACAGTGACCTATTTAAGGATATAGTTGTGTTTGTTCAGAGTCTAATGGGTAAGAAGTGAAAAGCAGAAAAGGCGATAGGGCTTTTGGTTTATGGAGCAGACCATCATGCTGAGAAAGCTGATGAGATGGTCAACAAGAATCAGGAGGCAAAGAACTGAATGACGAAAACAATTCATAGAATCACTACAGTGTGGACACAGAACATTCAGCCCATTCAGTCCACTCCGACCCTCCGAAGATCATCCCACTCAGACCTAACCCCTACTCTGTAACCCTGTATTTCCCATGGCCAGCCCACCTTAACCTGCACATCTTTGGACTGTGGGAGGAAACCGGAGCACCCGGAGGAAACCCACACAGACATGGGGAGAACGTGCAAACTCCACACGGACAGTCACCCAAGTGTGGGTGGTTTGGGCTTAGAAGATGATCACAGTGGACATTTTAGGCTGAGACCTTTTTAGAAACAATTTTAGTCCATGGAAGTCTCAGGAATTAAAGTTAAATGATGTAAGTTGAATATTGCTATCCGTTTTCAATGCAATTGTAATAAATCTCATTGGTTAAGGCGATAAACTGTGGTCCCATCATTCTCTGAAGACCCAAATGTCCTGTTGCCCTCACTACTCTGTAATCAACTCCCACTTCCAATGAGTTCCAGGAGTGTCTTCAAAGAACACAGAGGTGGAGAGGCTTAAAGCAGGAATTCCAAGGCTTAATATCCTCATCTTCCTTTATCATGGAATCTTCTAATGTTTTATTAGTTGAGAGAGATTTTCAGCTTTCATGCTGTTGCTTCTGTATTTTTGTTGTGTTACTACCCTCTGACCAGCTTTATCCCACCTGATATTGGAGCCAGAAAATCCCCTGTGACTCCAGTTTCAAGGAACTATGAACCTGCACTCTAAGATGTCTTTGTCCAGCAACACTCCCCAGGATATGGCAGATGGAGTTTAATTTAGGTAAATGTGAGGTGCTGCATTTTGGAAAGGTAAATCAGGGCAGGACATATATACTTAATGGTAAGGTGCTGGGGACATTTCACAATTGTGCATCATCCACTTCATCTTCAACCACAACATCTTCACCTTTGATAACCAGTTTTCCTTCCAGACACATGGAACAGCCATGGGGACTAAATTTGCTCCCCAGTATGCCAACATTTTCATGCACAGGTTCGAATAAGACTTCTTTGCTGCACAGAACCTCCAACCAATGCTATACACCAGATACATTGACAACATTTTCTTCCTGGCGAGGAATCACTGAAACAACTACATAGTGATATCAACAGGTTTCATCCCACCATCAGACTTACCATGCACTACTCTTCAGAATCAGTATCATTCTCGGACACACGCATCTCCATCAGGGCTCTGTACGGATAACCTCATGCTGTGTTTCTCTAGCTTCCACCCTAAACATATTAAAACAGCCATCCCCTTCGGACAAGCCGTACGCATACACAGGATCTGTTCAGATAAGGAGGAACGAGACAGACACCTGAAGGTGTTGAAGGACGCCCTCATAGGAGCAGGATATGATACTCATCGATCGCCAGTTCCAACATGCCACAGTGAAAAACCTTAATGACCTCCTCAGAAGACAGACACGGGATACGCCCAAAAGGATGCCTTTCGTCACCCAGTACTTCCTGGGAGCGGAGAAACTACGCCATGTTCTTCGCAGCCTTCAACACATTAACGATGACGATGAGCATCTCACCTTCAAACAACCGCCAAACCTTGAACAGACCATTGTTCGCAGCAGACATCCCAGCCTTCAGACAACATCAACTGCAACACTATACAACCCTGTCATGGCAACCTAATCAATTCATGTCAGATCTTCAACATGGACACTACCATCACACGTGGGAACACCACCCACCATGTGCACGGCAAGTACTCATATGACTTGGCCAACGTTCTCTATCTCATACACTGCAGGCAGTGATGCCCCGAGGCATGGTATATTAGTGAGATCATGCAGACGCTACGACAACGGATGAATGGACACCGCACAACAATCGCCAAACAGGGATGTTCCCTCCCAATGGAGGAACACTTCAGCGGTCGAGGACATTCGCCCTTGGATCTTCGGGTAAACATCCTTCAAGGCAGACTTCAGGATACACAACAACGCAGAGTGGTCGAGCAGAGGCTGATAGCCAAGTTCGGTATCCATGAGGAAGGCCTCAACAGGGATCTTGGGTTCATGTCGCACTATAGGTGACCCCACCACACTATACACGTACACACAGACTCACTCACACAAACACACTCACCTCAAACACGAACACACACGCTCTCACACAGATTCTCTCTCATATGCCCACGTGTACGCACGCACAAACACACATATGCACACACACACACATTCTCTCCCACACACAAACACACACACACATACACACACACTCTTTTTCTCTCCCCCCCCCCCGCCGCCACACACACACACACTTTCTCTCTCTCTCTCACACACACACACACACACAGGTAAAGCTATGGGGCGATTTTGTACTTGCAGATACATTCTATTTTGTTCAAAAAGCACACAATTTATATATAGCCAGTCAATGTGGCATTTTATAAATTCCTGTTTTAGAAATAAAACCAGTCTGACTCCAAACCATAACACAAACAGATTCTAAACAAGGCTTCACACCTAACATTGAATCAGAGATAGTAGGAACTGCAGATGCTGGAGAATCCGAGACAACAAGGTGCAGAGCTGGATGAACACGGCAGGCCAAGCAGCATCATAGGAGCAGAGAGGCTGACATTTCGGGCCTTGACCCTTCATCAGAAATGGGGGAGGGGAAGGGGGTTCTGAAATAAATAGGGAGAGAGGGGGAGGCAGATAGAAGATGGATAGAGGAGAGGATAGGTGGAGAGGAAACAGACAGGTCGAAGAGGCGGGGATGGAGCCAGTAAAGGTGAGTGTAGGTGAGGAGTTAGGGAGGGAATAGGTCAGTCCAGGGAGGACGGACAGGTCAAGGGGGCGGGATGAGGATAGTAGGTAGGAGATGGGGGTGCGGCTTGAAGTGGGAGGAGGGGATAGGTGGGAGGAAGAACAGGTTAGGGAGGCGGGGATGAGCTGGACTGGTTTTGGGATGCGGTGGGGGAGGGGAGATTTTGAAGCTTGTGAAATCCACATTGATACCATTGGGCTGCAGGGTTCCCAAGCGGAATATGAGGTGCTGTTCCTGCAACCTTCGGGTGGCATCGTTGTGGCACTGCAGGAGGCCCAGGATGGACATGTCGTCTGAGGAATGGGAGGGGGAGTTGAAATGGTTCGCGACTGGGAGGTGCAGTTGTTTATTGCGAACCGAGCGTAGGTGTTCTGCAAAGCGGTCCCTGAGCCTCCGCTTGGTTTCCCCGGTGTAGAGGAGACCACAACGGGTACAGCGGATGCAGTATACCACATTAGCAGATGTGCAGGTGAACATCTGCTTGATGTGGAAAGTCTTCTTGGGGCCTGGGATGGGGGTGAGGGAGGAGGTATGGGGGCAGGTG